TCGCCGGTCACCGCGAACCTTCCCACGAACACGGTCACGCACGTGGGTGACTTTGGAGCGTCCTAATGAGGGATAAGTAAACCGTGGAATGGAAAAGGCAGTCTTTTCTCGACGTCAGGGAAGCGTTAGGTGGGAGCGTGGCCCCGGGTCACGGTGCCCCCGGGTCACGGCGGGCTGGTTACCAAGGCAGATGACGATGAGGATTAGTTATGAAGGCCGGTGATCAGCGCCACTGAGGCCTGCCTGCGGGGGACGCCGCTCTCCTGTCTCCTCTGAGACTAGCTCTTCCTCTCGGTAAATCTCGGAGCAAAAGTTCTTTCGTTGGTGTTTTTCTAAGAGGCCCTTCAACTTGCCCTCTGGTGCCCGGCAGACGCTGGGGTTGGAGGCTGAGCGGCCAGGCCCTTCCCCGGGAGCCCCGAATGCCCGTCCCGTGGCGTCTCCCGGGGCTGACCAGGAAGGCCGGGCGTGTTAGGCCATCGTCACTGACATGGACTCGTGTTTACGTGAAAAGGGGCAGCTCTTTTTCTAAAACATATATTTTTATAGACTTCAGAGAGGGAGAGAGAAACATCCATGATGAGAGAGAATCACGGATCGGCTGCCTCCTGCACGCCCCCCACTGGGGAATCACCCTGCAACCGGGCACGTGCCCTGACCGGGAATCCAACCGTGACCTCCTGGTTCGTGGTCGACGCTCAACCCCTGCACCACTCAAGCCGGGCCAGGGGCAGCTCCTAGGCATGTGAAGTGTTGGATACGCTCGGCCTCCAATGGAAAGTGAGAAGAGACCCCAAATCGGTGACCTGCTCACCTGAGAGACCCCCAGCGCCCCCGCCGGGCCCCGCCGGCACCTCGCCCTGCACTGTGCCTCCTACGTCGGTTTGTATTGAAGTTTGAATTTTCTTAATTTGCTTCGGATCGGTAGCCCACGACTCCGGCGCCGTGTGAGTGGCTTAAAGAGTCACAGTGGACGTGGAAGGGGTCCCCTCGTACAAAGCGGTGGCTTCTCTGAAAGAGAAACTGAAACCACAGGGGTTTGCTTTTCCTTTTGCCACGAGGAAACCAGGAACGGTGTCAGCGTCGGCCCCTCGGCGGGTGAGGGATTCACGTCTAACGTGCTCAGCGAGCCTCGCTCACTGGGAAGCCGGCCGGCCGCTCGCCACGTCCACGAGAAAGTCCTCGTGCTGCCGCGTTGGAGCAATTCCCGCCGACTGGACGCTCTGTGAGGCTGCGTCCCTGCGAGGCCTCCCCAGGGAGCAGGTCTAAAGGGGCTTCCTTTTTGGAAACGAGTATCCCAGCCGCGTGGCCGGCGTGGCTCAGTGGCTGAGCATCGACCTGTGACCCAGGAAGTCACGGTTGGATCCCTGGTCAGGGCACAGGTCCGGGTTGCAGGCTCGATGCCCAGTGCGGGGCGTGCAGGAGGCAGCCGATCCGTGCTTCTCTCTCATCATTGATGTTTCTGTCTTCCTCTCCCTCTCCCTTCCTCTCTCTCTGACATCAATAAAAATATATTAACAACGGGTTCATCTTTCAAAGCAAAATCAGAGTATCCCAGCCCTGCCCGCACTGCGCCCGCTCCATTGAAGGGCCTCGGCGTTCTCTGAGATAATGAAACGTCGGAAAGTAATTTCATGCGCAGACGGCCGTGGAGTCCAGGGAGATAAAGGGGGTTTCTGCTAAATTAACCTCACGCCCGTGATAAGCGCGGTGAATGCCGCCCGTTGAAAGGACCACGATGGCGGAGGGAAGCCTGGCCTTTGAAGAGGACGCGCTCCACGGGAACATCCGCGCGCCCGGAATGAAATTGCTCGGCGGTAATTGTGGGTGCCACGGGCCCATTACAGCTGTAATTTCTGAGAGAGACGCCTGGCTCTCTGGCTGCTACATTTAAATCGGCTGTAACGAGCTGGCCATCTCTACGCACCGTGAGGGCTGGCACCTCGGCCCAGATGTGCAGCGGGAAGCCGGTTGCACATTGAGATGAGAAAAAGGCAAATTAAACGATCAGTCAGAGGCTGTGCGGCACCTGCTGTCTGACCCGCGGCATGAGGACAGGAGCGGGCGTGACTTGAAGAACACGGCCCATCGCCGTGTCGCCCTCTGACCCTGAGGGCCTCTGGGGCGGGTGCAGCCGGGGAGAGGCCCTCTCAGCAGCAGGACGTCCCGTGGCATTGTGTCGGGGCTGCCCACACCTGCCACGTGCATGTCTCATAGTGACTACAATACCAACTTATTGTAAAAGAACTCCCTTTTATTTTATTTTACTAGTGGCCCCGTGCATGAAATTTGGGCACATTAAAAAGGGGTTAATTAAAGGAAATATTTTAATATTGCTATTTGCCCTTTCTCTATAATAGAAGTGTCAGAGATGAAAGAAAATTTGTAAAATATATATGAAAATCTTTCTCTGTCAGAGTCTAGGGTGCGCCGCGGGACCCAGAGTCAAGTCCCTGCCCACCCGCAGCGCCTCAAAATCTCTCAAGACCCAGACCCGACTGGCCCCACCCCCATTGGGCGAGATCCAGACTGGGCCAGCCCCACCCTTGTCAAGCCCCACCTGGTGGGGGGGGCGCAGCCTCAGGGCCCCTGGCCTGGTGCCAGGTGGGAGGCGCAGCCTGAGGTCCCCTGGCCCAGCACCAAGGCGGGGGGTGCACCTTGAGATCCCCCGTCAAACCCCCTGGGCAGAGGGTGTGGCCTGAGGTCCCCCAGCCTGGTGCCGGGGTGGGTGGTGCGGCCTGAGGTCCCCTGTCAAGCCCCACGGGTCCCTGCTGATTGCTCGTTAAGGCTCGTTATGGGAACTCGGCCTCTGCTGTGGGCACCGCCATCTTTGTGGCAGCGTGATGGTCAATTTGCATATTCCCTCTGTATTAGATAGGATTTTTAAGGGAAAGGAAATAGCTCTTTTATTTATTTATTTATTTAAATATTTTTATTGATTTTAGAGCAGAAGGGAGAGGGAAAGAGAGAAGCATCAATGATGAGAGAGAATCATTGATTGGCTGCCTCCCGCATGCCCCCTACTGGCGATCAAACCTGCAACTCGAGCATGTGCCCTTGGCCGGAATCAAACCCGGGACCCTTCAGTCCACAGGCCAGCGCTCTATCCACTGAGCCACACCAGCTGGGCAGAACTCCCTCTTAGAATTGTACTCTGTTGTGTCCTTTTATAAACACCCCTGGCCATCATGCAAACACATAACTTTGTAACCTGAAGCTTCCAGAAGTAGTGGGTCCGGAGTTCAGCTGTTTCTAGATAGAAATGGTCCCCTGCATCCCTAGCAGGAGCCTCCCGCCTCCCTCTGCCCCTCCCCCTCCCTCTCTCCAGCACCCCCCTGGTCCTCCCTCACCCCAGAGCCTGCAGGACCTGCCCGGGTCCCCACTGCCCACGCGCATGCAGACACCGTAGGTCAGTGGTCGGCAAACCGCGGCTCGCGAGCCACATGTGGCTCTTTGGCCCCTTGAGTGTGGCTCTTCCACAAAATACCAACTTCTGCGCATGGGCCACAAAGTTTCAATCACACTGTATGTGCGCGCCCGCACGTGGTATTTTGTGGAAGAGCCACACTCAAGGGGCCAAAGAGCCGCATGTGGCTCTCGAGCCGCGGTTTGCCAACCACGGCCGTAGGTGGAGCACACACTTTCCAGCTCAGGCGTCCTGTGCTGCGCAGAAGGCGGAGGGCCGGCCTCTGCGGAAGGTCACGTGCCAGTTATTCGAGGGAACATCCAGAAGATGTATTTTATTTCTTTTTGTGAATCCTCACCCAGGATATTTTTTCCATTGATTTTTAGAGAGAGTGGAAGGAAGGGGGAGAGAGAGAGAGAGAGAGAGAGAGAGAGAGAGACATGGATGTGGGAGAGATCCATCAGTTGCCTCCCCCATGTGCCCCAACCGGGGCTGGGGATCGAACCTGCAACTGAGCTCCCTGCCACCGACTGGAATCGAACCCGAGCCCCTTCGGTCCGCAGGCCGATGCTCCATCCACTGAGCCACACCGGCCAGGGCTGTACTTCATTCCGACGACGTCAGGTTAAAACTTTGTTTCTACACAAACACATTACAATGAGTTTCCCAGTTGCTCAGTTGGGACCTTGGGGTTTTCCATTTATGTTTCTGGGGTGCGTCCCCTCCCTTTTCTTCCGGATATTGGGTCCCCGTGCGCGACGGCTGAGCTGCCGGCCACCCGATGGACTGCAGCGCCTCTGCCCTGGGTGGCTCCCTTCCCGAGCGACACTGAGACTCCTCCGTGCCTCCACACACGCACACGCCCGTCCTCGCCTATTGGGGCTGCAGCGACAGGATGGGCGGCGTGTACACAAAGCGGTTTATTGCTGACGCTCTGGGGTCTGGAGGCCGGACGCTCCAAGGTCAAGTTCTGCGGAGGCCCCTTCCGGGTCCCTGGAGGCGGCTTCTCGCCATCCTCACAGGGTGGAGGGCGAGGGGCCCTGCAGCCTCTGGGATGAGGAAGCTGGTATTTCCAGGTCTATCACTCACGCCCACACACAGACACACACAGACAGGGACACGCACGCACATGCACGCACACACAGACACACACACACACACACATGCACACAGACACAGAGACATGCACGCACATGCACGCACACAGGCTCACACAGGCACACACAGGCACACATGCGCACTCGCACACACGCAGACTTGAACAACAGCACAGGAGGTCTTGTTTCTCCTTCCTAAGCTGTTCTCTGGAAATGACACTTCTCCTGCAGCGGTGAGGGAGGCCGGTGGCTTCTGAAATGAGCACATGATGGTCCGACACTGCAGTGGCCCCGGGCGGAGACGGAGGGTAAAGACGTGGTCAGTAAGAGAAGGCACAGTCCGTGCAACCCTCCTGCTCCCGTGAAGTGATTGATTTCGTCTAACAGTTTATGTTTACACGGCTCTGGTTTTTAAACTGCTGGGCAGGGGGGGGGGGCAGCTCCGTGGGCTGTGAGTTCGAGGCACTGAGTCACGACTGGCAATTTTTTCAATGAAAAAGTAAGAAAGGACAAGAATGTATAGGATGTGCAGAATGGAAATGTCAAAGCCACACCCATGGGAGTGAGTGTGTGCGTGTGTGTGTGTCGGGTTCCTGTGTAAATGCACTTCGTGTTGTGTGACAACGCCCTTTGGAAGCCGTGGGCAGGCGGCCATGCCTTGCAGAAAGCGGGGGCGGGGGGGGTGGTGGCAGGTGC